ATCTCCATTGGGTAAATACTAAGGAACAGGATTGCTAAATTGTATGGTAAGAGTATGTTTAGTTTTGTAAGAAACCATCAAACTGTTTTTTTTGTTTGTTTGTTTTAAAAGATGACCGGTAAGGGGATCTTAACCCTTGACTTGGTGTTGTCAGCACCACGCTCACCTAGTGAGCTAACCGGCCATCCCTATACAGGATCCGAACCCATGGCCTTGTTTTTATCAGCACCACACTCTCCCAAATGAGCCACGGGCCGGCCCAAACTGTTTTTGAAAGGGGCTGTATGTACCATTTTGCATTCCCACTAGCAGTGAATGAGAGTTCCTGCTAATCCACATCCTTACCAGCATTTGGTGTTGTCAGTTTTCTGAATTTTTGTCATCCTGATAGGTGTGTAGTGGCACCTTGTTTACTTTGCATTTCCCTGATGACATACCTGTGGAGCATCTTTTCATTTGCTTATATATTTGTATATTGCTGTATATCTTTGTTGGTGAGGTGTCTGTTTGGATTTTTTACCCATTTTTAAATCTGGGTGTTTGTTTTCTTATTGTTGAGTTTTAAGAGTTCTTTGTGTATGTTGGATAACAGTTCTTTGTGAGATGTGTCTTTTGCAAATTTTTTCTCTCAATCTGGTTTGTCTTTCCATGTTCCTGAGAATATTTTCACAGAGCAGAAATTTTTAATTTTAGTGAAGTCCAGCTTATCAGTTTTTTCTTTCATGGATTGTGCCTTTGTCATATCGAGAAAGTTATTGCCAAACCCAGGACCACCTAGATTTTCTATGTTATCTTCTAGGAATTTTATACTTTTTTGTGTTTTACATTTAGATGAGTTTATTTTTGTGAAGGGTGTAAGGTCTGTTTCTAGATTGACCTTTTTGCATGTGGATGTCCAGTTATTTCAGCACCATGTGTTGAAAAGGCTATCTTCTCCATTGTATCACCTTTGCTCCTTTGTCAAAGATTAGTTGAGTATGCTTATAGTCTATTCTTTTGCCAGTACCACACTGTCTTCATTACTGTAGCTTTGTAGTAAGGCTTGTAGTTGGGTAGTATCAGTCCTCCAACTTTGTTCTTCTTCAGTATTATGTTGGCTATTCTGGGTTCTTGCTTTTCCATATAAACTTTATAATAAATTTGTCAATATCCACAAAATAACTTGCTGGGATTATGCTTAGCATTGCATTGAATCTATAGATCAAGCTGGGAAGAAGTGACATCTTAACAATATTGAGTTTTCTTATCTGTGAACATGGAATATCTCTCTATTTAGTTCTTCGATTTCTTTCATCAGAATTTTTTAGTTTTCGGGCCGGCTCGTGGCTCACTCAGGAGAGTGTGGTGCTGATAACACCAAGGCCCCGGGTTCGGATCCCATATAGGGATGGCCGGTCAGCTCACTGGGTGAGCGTGGTGCTGACAACACCAAGTCAAGGGTAAAGATCCCCTTACCGGTCATCTTTTTTTTTTTAAAAAAAAAAAAAAAGAATTTTTTAGTTTTCCTTATGTAGATCTTGTACATATTTTGTTTGATTTATACCTAAGTATTTCCTTTTGGGAGATGATAATGTAAAATATTATTGTGTTTTTAATTTTACATTCCACTAGTGCATTACTGGTATATAGAATAGCAATTGGCTTTTGTATGTTAACTTGTATCCCACAACATTGCTATAATTGCTTATTAGTTCCAGGAGGTTTTTTTGGTCAATTCTTTAGGATTTTCTACATAGACATCATGTCACCTGCAAAGAAAGACAGTTTTTATTTCTTCCTTCCCGGTCTGTATGCCTTTTATTTCCTTTCTTGACTTACTGCATTAGCTAGGACTTCCAATACCTTGTTGAAAAGGAGTAGTACAAGGGATGTCCTTGCCTTTTTCCTGATCTTAGCTTCAAGTTTCATGCTTCAAGTTTCTCACCATTACATATGGTGTTAGCTGTAGGATTTTTGTAAATATTCATTATTAAATTGAAAGGTTACTCTTTATTCCTAGTTCACTGAGAGTTTTTATCGTGAATGGGTGTTAGAGCCACTCTGCTACATTTCTGTGTGGGTGTGTAGGCTATTTCAGATTTTACAGTATTATAGACAATCTGATTGACAAAATTCTTTATAATTCTTTGGTGTATCCATAGTTATTTTCTTTAAATTCACTTAACAGATGTCATTTGAGTGTTTGCTGCCAGATACTGAGCAAAAATTAGTAAAAAGCTAAGATATTCTGGTCTGGTCAGTTAGCCCAGTTGGCTGGAACCAGGGTTTGATCCCTTACTGGCTAACCACACACACACACACACACACGCACGCACGCACGTGCACACACACACACACGATAAGATATTCTTTCCTTATAGAGCTTATAGTCTGTAAACAGCTAATAGTTATAGTGTAGTAAATGAAATTATGACAAAAGTAGATATTCTGTGGAAACATAGAGGCCAGTCACCTAATCAGACTTGCTAGAGGTACTGTTGAAGTTGTTAAGAACATCTTCCAGAAGAAATAATATATAAACTTATTTTTTTTCATTTTAGCTACTTGGGAGGGTGCAGAGTATATACTGTTGTGGTTTGAACATGCATTTCCCTGATGAGTAATGATGCTGAGCAATTTTTCATATGTTTAATGGCTATTTGTTTCTTGGTTTTGGGGGTTTTTTTGTTTGTTTCTTTGTTTGTTTTGGGGGGTTTTTTGGTGGCTGGCTGGTGTTAGGATCCAAAGCCTTTAAATGGCTATGTGAATATGCTTTTTCTGTGAAAGATCTCTTCAAGTATTTTGTCCATTTTTCTATTGTTCTTATTGATTTGTAGGCATTCTTTACAGATTCTGTATACAAGTTCTTTGTCGGATATGTATTACAAATATTTTCTCCCAGTTTTCATTTTCTTAATGGTGAATTTTGGAACAGTGATTCTCAATTTAATAAGGACAAACTACCAGTTTTTTCTTTTATGTTTAGTAAACTTTTTGTAAGACCAATAATCTTTTGATGCTACTCCTAACTAATAAGATTTTCTCATCAACTTTTTAAGTAAACTATCCTCTATGGCATAAAGACATTTCTTTACAGCTTTCAAAAGCAATTTCAAATCCTCATGGGAAAATTTAAAGAAGCTTTCTTTTTTCTTAGGAGCTCATTCTTACAGACCCAAATTCTCACAAAAGTAGGCCTCCATTTAACTTAGACATTTCACTTGAAGGAATCTGTAAAGAATGCCTACAAATCAATAAGAACAATAGAAAAATGGACAAAATACTTGAAGAGATCTTTCACAGAAAAAGCATATTCACATAGCCATTTAAAGGCTTTGGATCCTAACACCAGCCAGCCACCAAAAAACCCCCCAAAACAAACAAAGAAACAAACAAAAAAACCCCCAAAACCAAGAAACAAATAGCCATTAAACATATGAAAAATTGCTCAGCATCATTACTCATCAGGGAAATGCATGTTCAAACCACAACAGTATATACTCTGCACCCTCCCAAGTAGCTAAAATGAAAAAGATGGAGTATGTCAACGTACTGATAAGGATGTGGAACAATGAATTATGCACCACAGGTGGGAGTAAAAATTACACAATCAGTTTAGAAGATTGTTTAGTGATATCTTCTAAAGCTGAACATTCATCTACCCTGTAATTCAGCTATTCCACTCCTAGGTATATACCAAACAAGTTTTTTCATGTTCACTAAAAAATATACACTAGAAAGTTCGTAGTAGGACTATTGGTAATAGTTAAACTGGTAACCACCCAAATGCCCATCAACAGTAGAGTGGATCAATGCTGGTATTCACACAATGGAATATTATATAGCAATGAGAATGAGTGATTTACTACACAGAACAATATAGAAGAATGTTATATAAACATTAAGAACAAAAACCAAACACAAATAAAATATACTTTGTACAATTGCATTTTATGAAGAGCAAAAGAAGGAAAAACTAATCCACGCTGGTAGAAACCTGCATAGTACAGAATGGGAGGGAGCATGAATGGAGTTTCTGGACTTGATGGTAATATTCTTCTTGATCTGGGTGCTGGTTGCACAGCTAAGTTTGGGTTTTTGAAAATATTCAGCTATAACTTTTGATATATACAATTTTCTTTTTGGGTTATTCAATAAAAAGTTTTTAAAAATAGACAACTGGTTTTAACTATTATAAGAAAACTACAATAAAGCTATGAGCTGCACAGCCTCCATTATATTGGTCATTATACTTTAAAAAGTATAAAAATAGTCCTTAGCCTAGTTGAAATGTAAATGTTTTTGGAGAGGGAATATTTTTAGTTTGAAACTATAGAAATTTTAGAATAATTGTAGTCTTAATCAACTAGTATTAAGCCTTCCTCTTGCAGTAAAGCAGTGCTTTGAACTTTTTGCACATGCAGTATGTTTTCAAGATCTGTTGAGTTGTGTGGAATTTTGATGTTTGGAATTTTGGTGTTTGGATACATCTGCACACCATAAAAACAAACATGGCAATAACACAAACAAAAGCATGGACTCTTAAAAATCAAGGGATTTGATCTGATTTTGATTCTATCGTATATGACTGCATAAAGCATTAAATTTGGTTTTTGTTAATTGTAACTCAGCATGACAAATTAGTATCTCTAAAGAGATGACTAGAAAATGTTTTCTTTTTAAATCTTTTTTTTTTTTAAGTTTGTTTTTATTTTATGATTTATTTATTTTGTGGCTGACCAGTACAAGGATCCAAACCCTTGACCTTGGTGTTATAACACCGCGCTCTAACCAACTGAGTTAACCAGCCAGCCCATTAAATTTTAAGTAACTTTTTCTTAAGAAAGGAGAATATGAGTAAAAGTGTGTTTTGGTTCATTCTTACCCTCAGAGGAGGTAATATAAATAGCTGTTCTTGTTCTTTCCTCTCCTCTATCAAGAGAATGTTCTATTTCTGTCGTGTACAGAGACATTACAGCAGATAACCATGCCAATCCATTACCTATTGTTCTTTTTAACAGTCAAGTCCATCATCTCCAGAACCAGCCAGCCTTCCTGCAGAAGATATTAGTTCAAATTCCAATGGCCCAAAACCCACAGAAGTTGTGCTAGATGATGACAGAGAAGATATTTTTGCAGGTAATTGTCGTATCTTTATTTTTTAATAATGGCCAAGCGTAGTACATATTCTGTTAGGTAGAAAAGATTCTCTGAAGCAAAACTGAAATTCTGTGCAAAGTATTAGTGATAAAGTTAAAACCTAAACACCTATTTGCTTTGTGTCATATTTGTGTATTCAGCTAATATCCAGTAATCTTTGGCAATTAAATACTTTACTAATTTTGTGGCTTTTCCATAACAAATTTTTAATCCTAGTTGGGATAGTTCTGGGAAGCCTTCTGCCATAAAATTTGTGTTCATATATATAAAATAATCATAATGTCAGCCTGAATAAAATATTTGGAAAGTAAGTTATCACAAGTATAAGATACATTACAAATCCAAACATGAATGTGGAATTATTCACATCTTTGCTTTTCTCCTATATCCTAACCCTACCACTAGTATAGATAATTAATCTGACATCATAGGATTCTTCTTACAACCAACAAAGTTACTGTCAGTTTTAAATATATGATAAACGACTAGAAAGTGTCACCTCTCTCTCCCTGGGTGACAGAGACGCAAAGGATAACTCAAAGCCCATTTTTTCTGAGCAGTGAGAAGCCCCAAAGGGGTTAATTTTCCAAGAACCCTCAAGAGAGAGGCATTCCTCCTTGGAAAAATAACACTGGACTGGGGTCTTGTCCCAGTATTTATTTTCCAGGGCAGGAGGTTACAGAAAAGGGACATAGGTGATTACAAAAAGAACAGTAAGATAATTGTCATGGCAACACTCATTAATTTGTAAAAAGTTAAGTCAATCCACCAACAAAAGCTTTTTCTTAGCAAACACTGTCTTTCCTTACAGCAATTTCCTTAGTATGTTTACATAATAATCAAGTAACTTTCTTAACATATCAATTAGTAGGTTAACCAAGGACATCTGTCCTTGAGCCAGCAATTTTGATGTGTTACAATTCTTTATCTACAACAGGGACTTTAGCCTATGGAAAGTTTCCTGTCTTTTGCAAGCTTAACATTTCTATGTGTAATTTTTAAAAGTTAGGCTAAACCTGAAACTACAGGGCTTTGGAGGCTAGGCCCTGTGAAATACATTTGCTTTATTAATGTTAGTGCTCTCTACAAGGAAGGATTCATAAAATTCTTTTGTAATGATTATTTTAAAATAACATTTTGATATTGATTTGTGGGTAGTTTAAAATTTCTGTTCATAATTTATTAACTGCTGTGTAGAATATTGGGAATTTTCTGCCAGTGTCCTTAACTAACATGTTTAACTTGTGTCTAGAAGCCACAGAAGAAGTTTCTTTGGACAGCCCAGAAAGGGAACCTATCCGCTCCTCGGAACCTTCTCCTGCAGTCACACCTGTCACCCCAACTGCACTCATTGCTCCTAGAATTGAATCAAAGAGTATGTCTGCTCCTGTGATCTTTGATAGATCCAGGGAGGAGGTATGGGAAAATGTTTGTAGTCTAAATTAATATGTAAATAATACCTCTTTTGTTCTCCACCCAACATCACTTTCCTGTTTTCATTCCTATCCAAAGCTTTTCAGACATTTTGGAAAAAGAACATTGGCCTAAAGAAGTTAAGGGATCTGGTTTCTAATTCTATTTTTACCACTCTTAACCCAGTGACCTGGGCATATCACTTACCTTCTTAAGTCAAGGAGCTTATCATTTGTGATCTTATGATGGTAATGTGTGCCTTTCAGGATTCCTATGTTGGTCAGATAAGATGATATGTGAAAGTGCTTTGAAAACTGTTTATCATAATGAAGTGGTATTTTGAGTAATTTTATTTGATAAAAGCATGTAATATATACTGTTGATACTTAAAGATTGATATCTACCTTTATTTTTAAAGGGAAGGGATATGTATCAGTTAAAGATACATTCTGATGATTTGGCAGTAATTTTTAATAAGGTGAATTTGGGAAAGAAAAAATCATGGTATTGAGGTTATTTTAAATGGTAAAATTATATATTTAAAAGTCATTTGTGTAGAAATAGACCATTAAAATGACAATGATTAGGGCCGGCCCGGTGGCACACTGCTGCAGTGTGCCGCTTGGGAGCGCGGCGGCGCTCCCGCCGAGGGTTCGGATCCCACAT